CCCCAGGCAGGTCCCTCCCCCGTCCCTGAACATCTGAGTGCTCTCTGGGGGTCCCTTGTTTTCCTACCCACGCATGCAAACAGTAGTAATGACACAATAGTATTTTCTTGAAAAATCACCTAAAAAATTTTGATTATTTCTTAGTTTGTTTTAACCAAAATGATCACTGATCTTCCAAGCAGCATTTTATTCTTTCCATTAAAAAAAAATAGCTAACATCATATGTACAGTACTTTCTAATTTAAGAGCCTCTGTACAGTTGGTTCCTACATCCCTGCAAGGCTGGAATTATTCTTAATGTCCCTGTTTCACACACGACAAGCCTGGGTCTCGGGAGCAGCACAACCGCAGGCTCACGAAGCTGGCACCTGGAAGGGCTGATGGGCCGCGCATCTGTAGGGTCCACCTCGGTGAGGCCAAGGGCGCCTGTTCCGCCTCGCAGCGCCCGGTGCCCGTTGTGATGTATCCACGGGCATCCTGAGGACCGATGTGCCTCGCCCCGTTTTACACGATCTAAACCTCTTCCTTTTCAGAGAAACTTCCTGAGAACTTGGCAAATGCCACCTCTATTTCATTAGCCATTTATTTACTCGTCCCGAAAATGTTCAGTATAATCTTTCTCTAACCGTCATCAGCCAAGGCAGATCTGTGCCTTCAGTTCCTCTAGCTGTCTTCACCCGTTCTCTCTCCTTTTTCCTTCGGTCTCCCATTCGTTCACGCAGTCTTCGCTGAACAAGGACGGGCACATGGCGCTTGTCTGTCCTGTTCTATTGGACATTCAGAAAGATGAGTCAGGCACGGAGCCTGCCTTTAAGACGCTCGTAGCTAGCGATCAGAATGCTGGAACTGAACTGAGCCCTTTTTCCCCCTCTAAACACGGAGAAATTCTGCATTTAAAAAAATCTGTACATAGATAGCCAAGCTCAAAAGAAGCACAGTGCAAACACAGGGAACTCACAGCCAGAGTGGCTGCGCTTGGAGCTGAAGCTGCAGTTGGCCCGCGCACTGTTGACGGTGGCAAGTGCCGTTGGGCTGGGATGAGAACCCCGACAGGAACAGCAGACGAGCTAAGGCCCCAGCGAGGCTGTGCCTGAAATAGAGCCCCCTGCATAGAGCCAGGGCTTGGGAAAGATTTCTCTGCCTACTGACAAGGAAAGTGAAACTCAACCAGCCAGCCCGCCGGCCCAGGGACATGGCAAGGAAGCAGAAGGAAATCAGCAGCACAAGCCAGCACCACATCTAGTGTGGAGGCTAAATTTAAACGCCACGAGTCTCGAGAAAAGCATCAAGCTGAGAAATCGGCATAAAAGCTGGTCCACGACAAGTGAGATGCACGTCCCCCTGACAGTCACAAGTGGTAAAGCTTCCTCCAGAGCCCCCCCCCCCACAAGGCAGTGTCCCTGGGAACCCCCCAGAAGACAAGTGCGCGCCAAAACAGTGCATGTCAGACGTGCATGCAGGCATCTCAAAAAAAAAAAAAACGAATTAAACAAGAGGGGAGAAACTGTAAAAGAAATATGTTAGAAGTGTTTAGAAAAATAAAGATAGAATTTAGAGAAGAGATATAATAACCATAAAGTAAGAAGTATCTTGTGCAAAATAACAAATGTTTGAGAAATACAGTTTATCTACGCACCTAGACATAAAAAATGTTACCATTATGATGAAAACACTGTAGACATTCAGTAGACTGGATAGAGAAAAGAAACAACATCAGTTAGAAAATAGATCTAAGAAACTCACCTAGAATGCGGCATCACACGGTTTAAAAAAACCATAATCTGAAAGGGAGGTTAACGTGGAAAACAACATGAGAAGGTCCAACACACTGCCAACAGGAGTTCAGCGAGGAAAAACAGCACAAATGGGCGGGGGATTGTTGGAGAAACAGCGGCTGAGAACATCTCAGAACTGAAGAAACACCCACATCTCCACATCGAATTAGGACACGGAGTCTTGAGCAGGAGTAAGAACCAGTCTCCTCCCAGGCAGTTCTCACCGACACTGCGCACATCACGTTCACAGAGGAGATGTTTGTGAGCCTCCAAAGAGAAAATGCAAAAGGGTGATTAGATTAAGAAGGTGTTTCCCAAAAGCAGCCATCAGTTAAAGGTCCAGCTGTCGTGGAATACCAATTTCACAACACTGAAGGACATTACCTGTCAGGTTAGAAATCTCCAGCTTTTAAACAATTATTCAAGAATGAAGGGTTCGGTGTCTTCAATGAGAAATTGGACCCCGAAGTAAGGAGGGGAATGCGGGAAGCAGTGTGGCCAGAGAAACACTTGGGTGACTCCAGCCAGGCGCAGCTGTGTGGGGGAGAGAGAGACGGACTTCAGGGGTGATCCGAGAGCAAGGTGGGGTGTACATAAGGAGCAGCATGGGAAGCAGTGAGTGTGCGCTGCGTTTTCCCGTTTCTCGTGGAAAAGCTGTCGGTCACCTTTAGATGTTCGAGCATGCAAGTTCACAGCTTCATTATTTAAAGAGTACAAATAGAGTGTACACCTTCCAAACCCAGCTGAGGAGCAAAGAGGGGGATTTTTTAAAACTGCATCAATTTATTAAGAAGGAAGGACGGTAGAAAGAAGGAGGGGACAGAGTTAAAATGGTAGGAAAATTTTTTAAAATATATCAGTTATGATAAATGAAAACAGTAAAACTGAACTGTTAAAATATAAATACCTTCAGACTTTTTTAACGTAGCTTTTTGCTGTCTGTGAGAGACCACATGAAATATAATTATGTGGGAAGTTTAGACACAAGGGGCTTTAAGAAAGGGCTTACCAGGCAAATTCTAAAGAGAGGGCAGAAGAGACAGGAATGAGGAAAGGGAGGGGATACTGAAGGAATAATAAGAATGGTGGTCAAAACTTTAAAGTGAAAGGATTAACAATAAAGACGATAATCGTGCTAGAAAGAAAAAAGCTTGCCATAAAAAGGATAAAGATATGAAGAGACAAGTTACCAAAGAAAGAAAAATCCAAATGGTCAGAAAATATTTGGAAAAAATGTTCAGCCTACTGGTGATGATGGAAATGCAAGTGGAATCAATAGTGGGGCTACCCTTTAACCCCCATAGATGGCCGAAGAGTTACATTGGAGGAGGACGAGCACTGGTGGGGGTGGGGGATAAAAGGACGTTCTTGCTCCTGCCGGTTGGAAGGGACGCCGCAGATGGGCGCAGATCTACGGCTCAGCAGTTCCTCCCACTCTGTGTCCTAGAGAAGTGCTCAGGGGTGCCCCGTGGGCATCACTGGCAGTATCAGCAAGGAGGAGGCAACCCAGGTGCCCAGGGTAGTGGAGCGGATTAGTGAGTTGCAATGAGATCACAAGTGCAACTAGTAGAAGTGCAAGTGAATTAACTTAGTTACCTATGTTAAAATGGATACATCTCCAAATGACAACATTGAATGACAGCAAGTTGCAGACGGATGTGCATATGTACCTAAGTTCATCTTTACATAAAAGAGCAGTACTGTGTACTGTGTTTATAGATACACACGTGTGCAGTACAATACACACATCGGAGGGGACATGATAATCACCCAGAGTGAGGGGCCTGCCTCCGCCCATCTGGCACCTTTTCTATGTCGTCAGGTCATCCCCTTCCGAGAGTAGCTTATTTCGAGTATCAGATAGCTGGTGTAAAAAGGAAAAATGGGAGGAGGTGGGAGGAGGGCCCTGGTCTTTGAGGAGCTCGGGTGCTTGCAGAGGATGAAGCCGAGGGTCCGGGAAGAGCATGCCCGCTGGTCGGCTCGAGTGGGGACCATGAGTGGGATCGGGAGGAGGACACCGCAGACCTGAGCTCTGTCGTGTGTAGTTTGTAATCATCTGAAGCGAGCAGAGCAAACATAGCAGCACTTGTTTACATTGTTAATTCTGGATTGTAGATGCATAGGCCCCTGCTGTTAACTCTCTCTGTGTGTGTGTATGTGTTTAAAATATTTCCTTAATTGAAAATAGTTTCCAGCTTATCAAGGGAGAGGAAAGACATAACAATAATAATGCAGAGCAAAATGCTCTGTGTGGGTCCTTTACAAAAGGCTTTCGGAATTGAGATGAGAGACATTTCTGCCTGTCAAACCCAGGAGTGCCCCCTGGAAGAGGCATCCTAGGGTTGCCTTCCTGCAGGTGCTCACCTGCTTTCAGCCACTGGGACATCTGGCAGCCATCTTGACCTTTTCTTCCATTTCTTTGGCCTTTGACAAGTCCTTTTCCATTTTTCACCAGCAGTTTCATTTTCACTAATTACATTCTGGCCAGTGCAAAGCAGTAGTTACCCAGGGCCTCCCCAGAGATTTATTACTATGAGGAAATGCATCTGAAAAACTTAAGTGCTGCCCCACTTCTCACGGAAAGAGGCAGTAATGACTTCCATCTTAACCTACTGAGGGTTTTCATGGAAACATTGGATCTAGTGGGGGAAGAGGGTTGGTCGGTTGGTTGTGTGAAGGAGTGGAAACATGTGGCCCACTCCCCCGTCGCTTTCTCCCTTCACCAGAGATCCCACTCCAGGTTCTCACCTTCCCACATTCTGTCTTGTCTCCCCATTTAAATGTGCTTCTGCAAATGCTCAGCAGACACAGTTCGCGGCCTCTGTCGGGGGTCCCTGTGGAAACAAGACTGGGTCACTCGCCTGTGCTCACGGCGCCCAGCACTGCCCCTCCAGACAGCGAGGGCGTGGGGTCCGGCTGACAAGGAACGGGAGCCTGTGGGCCCCCTCACCCCCCACATCCCAGCGGCTTCTCTGCCCTCCGGGTGATCTCATGGCCCTGACGCGTCCTTACAGGGTGCGGGCAGATGGCACCGCAGCGTCGGTCCAGAGCAGCTCACCGGTCACCGGGAAAGGCGTCCGCTTTGTCTAAATTACACATCCGCTCCACGTTGACGCCGGAAGGAACACTGCGACTCAGATCTCCTTGGGGGCTGCCGCGGCCTGCCAGTCTGGGTTTGACGACGAACCTTGCTTTCTCAGACGGTTTTTTCCTTTGCCTTCGCAGAGAGAGGATGCACCAGTCCGCCATGTATGAGCTCTGCCAGGCGATGCACCAGATCAGCCTCCAGTTCGTCCGGCTGCAGCTCACCTTTGAAGAGTACTCCGTCATGAAGGTCCTGCTGCTGCTGAGCACGAGTAAGCCGATGCCCCCCACACCCCGCACCTCGTCTACTACACTGTCAGGTCACCGCCCTCCCGGGAGGAGCCTGCTTAGGGTATCAGGTAGTCGGTGTAAGAAGGGAAAATCGGAGGAGGTAGGAGGGCCCTGTCTTTGGCGAGCTTGGTTGCTTGCAGAGGATGAAGCTTGGGGCCCATGGAGGAGCGAGTCCCTCATCCTTCATTCGTCCGACCACTAAATATCCGTTAGGTGTCTGTCGCGTGCGTGGTGGGGTCGGGCAGTGCAGGAGCTGCAGGGCACATGAGGCACGAGGTAGTCAGTGGAGACGTAACTTGAACACATTGTGGAAAGGGGTTTTCTACTGTGATAAAGAGTGTCATGCGGCTCAAAGAAGACAAGAGCTGGTCAGCTCTGGGGCTCAGGGAGGGACTCAGGAACGTGGGGGAGCTCGGGTGGGTTACGGAGTGGGTAGGAGGCGTGAGACGCATTCTCATCGGGGAACCGCGTGAGGGAGTGTGGGGAGGCGGGAGAGTGGAGCCAGGCCCCCGCACTCTGTTCTGAGGAGACGTTTTGCCTGTTAATTTTTACATTTTTATTGCATTTAAGTATTTAGTTTTTCAGGGTGCATCTGGCTGTACGGGGTGGGGAGAAGTGGGGAATAAGGGTGGGCTGTAGCTGGGACCTGGATATTCAACACTACCTTTGCCAGGTGGGCAGAGGAGTCCAGCACTGGAGGCGGTGAGTAGTGGGGAGACGTGACCAGAGCTGTGTCTTGTGGCTTTAGGAAGGTGTGTCTGGCATGCGACCGGATTAAAGAGAAAGCGAGGTGGGGGTGGGGGTGGCAAAGACAGAGTGTGTCCTGCCTGGAAGCAGAGAGACCTGTGGGGCTGACGGCGTCATGGCCTGGATGGTGATGGTTGGCTGTAGGATGCGCAGGAGCATGTAGGATGCACGTGGCCGCTGACCGGAAACAGCGACGAGAACAGCCTGGGGCAGAAGTGACACAGGTTTTGAGCCTAGAGAAGAGACTCGGATGGTAGTGATGCCATTGAGAGAAACGTGTTGATGTCAGGACTTGGAGCCGGCTTTATGGAGTGAAAAAATGAGTTTCGTTTTGGATAGGTTCATTTTTAGACGTATCCTAGTAGAGAGGGCAAAAGATGGAGACGGTTTGGGGCTGGAATTCAGAAGACAGGTTTGGGTGTTGAGATGTCAACTCGCAAGGATCCTTGTAGGACACCGTAGCCCAGACTCAGCCGGTGAGGGGGTTGCTGTGCTGCAGGAAGACGAGGACAGGTCCCGTTGACTACAGGAGAGGGGGTGGCAGGGGCTCACGGGACAGAGACACGGACGGCAGAGGGGGAGGGTGGACGGTGTGGAAGCCACACACACACATCACATGGTAGAAAATTTAAATGCAATATTTTTTTCTAAAAATGTGTGTGGTATTCTGTATTAATTTTGACTGCTCAATCTTATTTGCTATCTTACTATCTTATATACGGGAGTGGACAAAAGCAGGTTTACAGTTGTGAGTGCACAAAACAGTTTATTCTTGTATTATTCTGTATCCATTGGTATTTTTCCATACATACAACCATACACCTATTTTTGCCCATCCCTGTGCATTTAATCCACCAGCCTGTAATAAATTCTGATACAATTTTGAAGCTGTCTGGGTAATGTATTAGCTTCCAAGGAGCTCAGCACTTTCAATTCTGATTTTTATAGATGCAAGGAAAGCAAAATGAAAAGGTAGGAAAACATAAGAATTGTAGGAGTCACAGAACCTGCAGGCTTTGGTACGCTTATTTTGCAAATCTTCGGGAGAGCGCCTGAACACCCTTCCTCTCAGGACGTGAAGTGGCCTGTCGGATGTCCACTGTGCCTGGTCTTCAGCAGTGACGTCAGAGTCCTGTGTCCTTCCGCTCACCGGGGAAGGCAGAGGAGCTCCCGCCCGTTGTGTCTTTGCTCCTCCAGCCCGTGGGTTCGGGGTCATTTCCACCGGCCCTGCTACCCCTCCTGATCAGTAACTCAGAAAACCTGGGCAGACCTCCCAAACGTGAGGACTTGCTGAAGTTCTCTTTATCTGTGGGTTTGTTTCAGCTTCTGAAACAGGTAGCTGGGAAACTAGTACAATGTATTTCAGTCCCAGCAGTAATATATAAGTAATATTTGACACCACAGCTATCAGAAACAGGAAGGTCTTTGGTTAATCTTAGTATGTGTGCCAAGTGCTATTGAAATAGTCATGAGATGTAGTCACTTATTCCAATTTTAGGTAAATTTTTTAAGATATAGGTTGACACACATAAACATCTAGGTTGAAAACAAAAGGTTTACTCCATCAAATGTTAGAAGTTCAAAAAAAAGTTAACATGGGTAGGAAGTGTGGACTGCTATTTGCAAACTTTCAATTTCTCGTAGAAAGTTTTTGGTTAATGCTAAAATTTTGGTAGAAAACATCTATAGCTTTAATGTTAACATCCTGGTTATTACCATCTTTCTTTAATTTATTTATATCTTTAAAACAAGGTTTTAATTTTAAGGGAAAATATATCAATTATATAATGGATGGTATTTAACTCTTAATGTGAATGTTATTTATTCGAAACCGCAACTAACATTATGGAAGCCTCAGGAATTTGCGCAGTTGCTATTAGGGATTCCTTTGCCCCACAAAAATAGACTTAGACAAACCACAAATCAAAAGCCTCAACAATTAAAGTAAAAGAGAACATTATTAACATAATATGTGAGGTTAGCTTTGCAAGATAATCCATATCTTTATCCAGGACCACAGGGCTTATTTGCACAGGGTTTTTTTGCAGATGTGGTATTCCTGGCTTCCAGGGTTGCACGTAATACTCAGAAACATACTGAGCCGTCCGCAAGTGCAGACGGCCCCAGCCGCTCTTCTCTGCACCAGTTACGACACACGCAGGTCCCAACTCAGAGTGTTCATGTCACAGCATGGATTTACAGTAGGTCTTCTTCCAAAGCTAAAGTTCGTAGGGATTTTATTTTTGAAAGTTAAAGCCTAAGCATAACAATTTATTGGCAATAGCGGGGGGGGGGGGCGGGGAACAGACATGGAAACAGATTTTCAAAGGACACATCTCTAGCCTGCCCTGGGCGCTGCGCCTCCTTCCACGACACAGGCGCAGCCTGTCCTCTTGCCGCGCTGCCCCGCGCACCGGGGACAGGTCTCCCGGCAGGTCCCGGAAGCACGTGGTGTGCTGCCGAGTCCTGAGTCCCAAGGGATTTTAAGATTCTTTCCAAGTGAGATTTTGTGTGTGTATAAATACAAAACCTAGCCACTACATAAAAGGAAATATAATCCTTCACTTTCTACCTTATCAAAGGTGAACATGGTTTATTCTCTTTGGAAGTTTGAGACTTTCCCTCGCCTGCAGAGCCACATTGTGTTACCGCCGCACACCACACAACTGCACACTGCCCCCCCACCGCCCAGATTGTCTGAGAAGTCACGTGACAGCCTCTCAGCTGTCATGTGATCTGGGGCAGAGAGAATGGAAAGTGCTTGTTTGCATGCATATTCTCCCCTTGGTAGACGGCCAGTCTCCCCAAGTGTCTTTGATATTTGAACTTGAATATGAAGACACTGCTTTCTAATTCTAGCTCCAGCTTGGATTGTCTGTGGCTCTTGCAGTTGTCCTGGAAAATCAAAGTCTGTTTTCCTGCCTCCGAGGTGTTGGCAAGTCGGGGTTCATAAAACACTCTGACGACAGGCCACGAGGCCATGAAGCATTGTGGTCAACAGGCAGGCTGTGGACACAGAGCAGCCTAGCTTCGTGTCCCTTCTCTGCCTTTTACTGGGCCCTTGGACAAGTGTTTCAAGCTCCAGTCCTCAGTTTCCTCATCTGCAAAATAAGAATAATACAATGGTTATTGTCATAAGACTGATGTCAAGATTAAGTGAGCTGATATATGCAAAATATATTAACACACGTGATAGAGAGCAGTTATTATTGTTCTTTGGTATATGTATGTGTACAAGAGTTTACCAATAGATAACTAACTGCCATATTTACCAATAAATGTAATTCATTGAAATTCCTTATCAACCTAAAAGTGGGGAAAAGCCATTTAACTGCTGAGATGCGAACGCTGATTCCCATCCTGGGAGCTGACGTGTCTGTTCTCCTTACAACGCAGTTCCAAAGGACGGCCTCAGAGGCCAAGCCGCGTTTGAAGAAATGAGGACGAACTACATCAAAGAGCTGAGGAAGATGGTGACCAAGTGTCCCAACAACTCTGGGCAGAGCTGGCAGAGGTTCTACCAGCTGACCAAGCTCCTGGACTCCATGCACGATGTAAGTACCGCCCCCCGACGCTCTCGCAGGAAGGATCGGAAGCCACACACTGTTCTCTCCCAGTGAGACTGGGGGGTTGGGAGAGCTCTCGGGCCTTTGGGGGGAGTAGAGGTAAGTTGCCCGGTGGGAGACGGCAAGAGGTGAGAACTGGCTAGGGAAGAGGTTTTTCTTCAGATGACGTTCGTGACAGACTGCATTTCACGACGAGGGTGTGATTCTTCCCCCTCCTGAGTGGGACCCGAGAAATGTGCACCACGGCGGCAGAACCCGAGTCCTGGCCCAGGGTCAGATCAAGTTTCCCGTTTCTGCTGGCCGTTTAGGGAATGTTGGGTTAGTGAAAATGTTTGCTTTCACGTTGCGTAAACAGTGACCATCTTCTACGGCTGTTAATGTAATAACCCAATCTTCCAAAAACATTATTCGTGGGCCGGGGCCAGCTCGGACCATCTCAGCCTCTGCCAAATGTTGAACCCTATACTCACTGATCTTCGTAGGAGTCACCTTTCTTTGTCTCAGTGTAAATACAGAAAGCAAATTCTGAGCTGGTTTCTTCTCATGTAACCAGTTGTCAATGTGGCTGAGGTGTTGGCCAAAGGCTTCTACAAAATCCTGATACTGATCCCTTGCTGCATGTCATTGAAAATACGCTTCTCATTTCATGTTGTGTTTTCTCCAGTGAGGCTCAAAAAAAAAAAAAAAGTTGTATGTAGTCATGCTAATTTAGTTTTTCGTGCTTGTGAGGTTTCATACTTTTCTTGGAAAATTTATCACCCAAGCCCAACCCATAGATCTGCATAAGAAATTCATCTCCAAATGTTTCTCTGTTGATAAGGAAAATGGTGCAGGCCCCATGCCCAATACTGTAATAGTAATGAATCCTGTTGAATTAATGGCTCGTCCCTTAGAAAGCGGGATATGCCAGTGGAGTGCTAACTCTCTGTGGGGTCTTGGATGAGAGTGTCACATTCCAGTCATCCACACTGACGACACCTTGCCTGTCAGGTTGACCTTTGCTTCTCTGAACTTGTCATATGGTACAAGTCAAATTCACAGAAGGTAAATTCAGTGATGGATAGTCTTGTTAACTACCAGCGGCCTCAAGAGTGTGGTTTCAAGGCCAGTGCTGGGAATCAGAGATGGCGGCAGACGAGGCTTTGGGGAGCGCAGCGAAGGAGGGAGTCCTCAGCTCACACGAGGAAACTGAAAGGAAACTGGAGCCCAGAATGTAGATCATCTACATGAGAACAGGGGCACCGCTACTCCCTTCCCCTGGCTGCATCGGAAGTCCTTCTGAGTGGAGCTCAGAATGGGGCTTTGTGGCCCTTGCTCGCTGAGCTCTCTCGTTGGTTCAAGTGGATGGGCAGGCACAAGCGCAACGGCCAGGTGAGGGTGCGATCATCACAGCATGTGTTCATAGAGCGTGCGTTTTGAAGCAATTGGCATGGAGTGAAACAACAGAAAAAAAACTGTTGAAACGATCTTTTCGACAGCCTTCCAGAACCTCTGTGCCTTCAGCAGAGTGGCACAGAGGAGACATGTAGGGGCCACCGCCACAGTGGTCCACGTGCCCACCCACCCTCCTCCGCAGCTGCTTTTGCGAGCCCCACAGTGCTGGGCGCCAGGCGGGAGGGAGCTCAGCGATTGCCAGGCGGCTGCACCCTGGTGACGACTCTGCAGCACCTCCCAGGGCAAACCATTGTCTTTTCAGTGTTTTTTAATCAAGGTCTGATTGAACGCAGTGCCTGGCTGGACACTGAACATGTTCAGAGTGTCCATCTGAGAGGCTTGACACATTGTGCACACCCACGAAGCTGTCATCACGAGACACACGACACATCTGCCACCCCAAACCTTTCCTGGTGCCCGTTTTTAACTTCTCTTCCTGTCTTCACCTCCCTAGCTGCGTTCTACATTGCTTTCTGTCTGTATAGCTCAGATGGTATATTCTAGGGTTGCACATATTCTAGACTTTATGTAATCTATTACTGCGTATATTCTAAACTTTGATATACATGGGTCATGCAGTATGCGGTCTTTTCTGTCTGGCCCCCTTCCCTCAGCATACTTGTTTCGAGACTCTTGCGTTCCACTGCGCACTGCAGCACTTAGACCTCCTCACTGCTGAGCGGCACTCGCGGGGCCGCTGCCCCACGGTCTGGAAGTCAGTCACGAGTGAACAGGCACATGGGCTGTTTCCAGACTGGGCACATTTGCAGGTGAAGCCACACTGGACGTCCGTGTGCAGTCCTGCAACGGGCATTGCTCTTTTTCCTGGGTGAGGAGCTAGTTGTGGACTGTCTGGGTCATCCCACCGATGCACTTTCATTTGTCGTGAGACCTCCAGCTTCTCCCCCAAAGTGGGTGCACACGGGCACTCTCCCTTCACAGTCCGTTCACATCACTCCGCACCCCTGCTGGCACCCGGAACGCTGAGTCCTCCCAGTGGTAGCACTGAAGTCGCTGTGTGGTGGTGTCTCGCGGTGGTTTAATTTGCATCTCCCTAGTGATTAATGATCTGATCTCCTGCTCATTTACCATTGTTGCGTCTTCTTTGGTATAGTGTCTGCTCAGCTCCTTGGCTCATTTTTTTAAAAAATTGAATTGCTTGTTTTTAATTGGAGTGTTGAGTTTTGAGAGTTCTTTGTACATCCTAGATGCAGTTCCTTTATAAGATGAATGATTTGCAAGTATTTTCTCCCAGTCTGTGGCTTATCATCTCGCTCTCTGAGCAGTATCTTCTGAAGAGCCATTTCCCATTTCAGTAAAGCCCAACTGATTCTCTTTTCATGAGTCATGTTCCTGGTGTCTGAGCCGACGCCGCAGAGCTTTTCTCCCAGATTTCCTTCTAGATGTTACTGTCCTTCATTGACTCAAATGTAGTCTTGACAACCAATTTTTTTTTCCATGTGTTTTTTTCCGAGCAATTTGGGTTGTTTCTGGGGGCAGGGTAAATCCAGTCCCTCCTACTTCATTTTGACTGGAAGGAGAATATTCTTTTGGGAATCACTTCTTACCATTTTAATTCTAAAGCCTTTATTTTAAATGGTAAGAAACGTTTGCTCTTAGAACGAACCTACCAGAAGCATCTTTGAAGTTCTATTTATATCCCTGTTCCAGACAGAACATTGAAAAATGCATCATGCGTCTAGAGGGACCTTTCTCACATGTGCGCCTGCACAGACTTGAGACTGCCTGCGGCTTGTTCATTAGAGTAAATTAGTGAATCAGCATTTGTAGAATTGTCTTCCAGGGAACAAAGAAGCTGCACGCGGACCAGCTCTGTACTCAGAGCCGAGCTCTGATCACCTCGTGGGACGCGAGTGTTTGTCCATAAGAGTCCCACCAGTAAGAACACTGTGACTGTAAATCCGGCTTTAAAAAGTGTGCAGCTTATGCCGCCCTTCGGGACACATGTCCACAGGCCTCGGGAGGCATGGGCTTGTCCCCCGTGTGCACTCGTGGAGGCAGACTGCCAAGGTGAGCGAAAGGAACAGTCTTTGGACGAACAGGTTGTCAGTTCAGTACTGGAAGTGGTCAGCAACTTGAACGAGCCGTAAGCCCTCTGAGCTGCCTCTGAGCATCAGTTTTTCCCAAAATAAGTTTCAAAGAAAGCAGGTGTGGTCAGGCTCCTAGGAATGGATGTGGTTTTTGCATTGCAAATGTCAGGGTGCTGTACGTGAAGCCTAGAGACTCCTTATTCTTCTAGAGAGAGTTGACCATTCTTGGGGGGGAGGGGGGCTTGAGCCACTTTCTAATTCGCTGAAGGAGTGAAAGTGGTTGGCTGATGGAACGATGGCAGATTGCAATGAGGGGACATCAGGAAGGGTCGATGATGCTCACCTCATCAGTGGTGGGTGAACTGGGCGCTGTCAGAATGCAGCCAGAGCGAGGAGGGGGCTGCCATGCTGCCTCAGCGTGTGAGGGGTAGGTCTGTCTTCTCGTTGCTCAGGTGACAAAGAAATGCGATTGATTCCGTATCTGCAGTGAGGTGCCTGGCAGTTCCACAGGTGTGTGTGTGTGTGTAAGAGAGATTAAGATTCAATGCCACATTGTATCTCACTGAGTGAAACAACTATTGAATATAATTGTTAGTGGTGTTACTGCTTTCTTTGACAAGACCATGACTAAGAAAGATTCTAAAAATAGGAAGAGTTGTTTATTCCAAAGTCAGCTAAGTGAGCACAGCCTGACTTCCCAGAGCATCGGGGGATGGGAAGACGAAAATTGTGTGAGCCCACTCCTCCTGAAAAGGAAATCTGCTTTGGTGAAGATTCCAAATTAAGTAATTGAGATGTCAGATCTTACTCCGTCTAGTCGGTGAGAACTGTGGAAGGGTTGTCGTGGTTTTCATTGTCTCTTCCGCACGCCCACAGTAGACGGGCCCGTGTCCATCTTTGCCAAGTTTCTACTTCAAGGGCAGAGCGTGGCACAGAAGGCACAGCCCTGGGTCCATGATGCCGGCTGCTTATTCTCATTCAGAACATTTCTAGGTTTGTGTAACTGGGGGGGGAAGCGTCAGATATATTTAAAACTAAAAGTGGGGAAAGTGGAAAAATAGGCCAGAATGTTGCTATCCCAGTGTGTGGATAAACAGAGGACGGGAGGCTCTGCACGGGTTCGGAGAGGTCTGGGCAGCTCGAGGACCACTGTTCTGGGTGCTCGCAGCTGGAGCCATAAAGCCACCGGGAAGACGACTCCTCACAGATGTGAAGGTGTCCTCCCCGGTGTCCCTCCTTTGTTCACAAGTCAGTGGTTTAAGGGCGGTGTCAGCCAGAGGCCGTGATTGTGTCTCCGAGGACCCCTACTTTGCAGTCAGGCCGTATTGTGAGAGTGAATTACCGCGCCCCTGCCCCTGGCCAGACGCGCAGCTGGTGCTGAGGGTGCGCTGCAGCACAGCGTCCCGTCTCCTGGGGAACACAGACGTCAGCTGGGAGCTGACATGCCGCGTGGCAGGAGCCTGGGCAGAGTGTCTGGAAGCGGAAGTGGCGGGTGCAGATGGG